GTTCGAAGTTTCTTTTCAAAAGATGGATTTTTTGAACAAAGATAGTCGGGTATAGATTGCCATTCACTACCAATTGTTTTCGAAAGAATAATTTCTATAGGAAATCTTGTTATTTGTTTTTTTGTTGAATTGATTTTGAAAGGTGAAAATTGGCCAAGCTCTTGTGATAGGACTTGTTCATTGACTATCTAAGAAGAAAATCATTGTTCATAGAATAGAAAGATCTTTGTTATTCTTCTGTCTTACTTTTGCGTCAGAAACTGTATTACGACGGGTAATAGTTTTAATAGAATTGAGATTTGATGTTGTCATTGCCATTTGAAATTGAATGGGAGACAACAAAACAAAGATAGAATTCTGAAAATGATATCTAGAAGAAAAAAGAAAAGCAAAACATCAGAAGATAAATTTGTTTACTATTCGAAAAACAAACTATGAAACATGACACAAAAAAAGAAATGAATGAAGTGTTACAATGGAACTACATTCTACAATATTGATTAAAATGAACAATCGAGAATACTAGAGTCAGTAAAATCTATAATAAGGAATAGATCGTTATTCTTGAGACGAAGCATGAATAAATTTTATAATTTGTTGAGCACGTTGTTCGATATTATCGAGACGAGCTTGAATAATAGCACGCATTGAAGGAGAAAAGCGTTTCATAGATGATAATTGATTCTTTTGATCATTACCATCAATGTCGAATTCATTTTGTTTCATATTTGTTATTGAATGATTACCTGAAATTATTCCTTTAACCATAACTTGATCACTCATTGACCAACGTTTCTTTTGTTGACTAATAACCTTCTCACATGCTCTTAATTTTGATCGCCAAATTTGTTGAGTAGAATAAACCTATGAGAAGAATAAGAATAAGAGAAAGTTAGGCTAAATAAAATATTCACCTGTTCTTCTATTGGATTTAAATCATAGAATGATTTGACAAGATTTGCATCATTGATATTATACGTAAATAAGATTTTCTTCTGTTCGAAATTTGTATTGGAATGATGCAAATCATTTTGCATGAGAACAAAAAGAGCATTGCATATGATATTCATCCAGTGTTAAAAAGATATTTTATCATCGTTCATTTTTAAATTTGATGAATATCGTTGTAAATAATTGTATAAATTAATTTCTAGTCGTTGTAATTTATTTCGAATGAGATTTTGTTGATATTGAATATTTAGTTTTGTTTTCGAATGATTCCAATTAATGAAATTTTTTTCTGTTACATCTTTCGATACTTCTGATAACCAAGCCACAACAGGCATGTTTAAATTGCCAATGTAGTGCGAATAATCTTCTTCGATTTTCAATTGAAAGGAAGTACATATGAATATAGCAAGTTGTTGTGAGAATTGTAAAATTTCAGTACTTGCTAACCATTGTTGAATCTGATAATGATCCGTTTGAATAGTTTTGCAGAGTAAATGTTTGAATTCATGAGAAGACAAGGTCTTATAATTTGGTAAGAGTTTGCATGTCAGTTTCCAATCATCTGTAGGTAAATCGTAATGGTTGTTCATTTTTTGATGTGTTCTTGTAGGTGATGAATTATTGCCTTGATTCTATACAAAAGAAAAACATCGTATTTATTTTTTGTTCATCATTTGATCGTACTTGGTTTCCATAGAACATGGACACTTGAATATCCTTATTAGCATTCCTAACCAAAAAATCATCCATCTTTTTATCGTGGTCTGTTTCCCGATGAGTTTGATGAATGGAATTATTGATTTGATGCATTGTCAATAACATTTTTACGGTTTGATCGTTCATTCCTCGTGCTCGACATTCCCTTCTATAGCGTTGGAGTCGCCGATTACCACGAGACTTTTTCTTCTTCTTTAGTTCCTTCTTGTTATTCTCAAAGTTTTGTTTTTGTCCAATGAATATTTGTGTTTGTGAAGGTAGTTCATACCAACCGGCTTGAGCATTTGAACTTGACATTTTGATTGAACCCTTATTACAGTCTATATTATCAATATTTCTATCTAGAAGACAAAAGCTTATTAGCGAAGCCTCAATGAAGCTGAGATGTG